CCCCGGACAAGTACACCGGGAAATCACCCCCGGACAAGTACACCGGGAAATCACCCCCGGACAAGTACACCGGGAAATCACCCCCGGACAAGTACACCGGGAAATCACCCCCGGACAAGTACCCTCGGACAATTACCCCCATGCCGTTAACTCCCCGGAAAATCAGCCCGGTTGTCCTCCCTGTAAACAACATTCGCCTGTTGTTTATTATTTATTATTTAACAGTTTTTATTATTTTATTATTTTGATTGTTGCGGTGAACCCAAATGTGATCACGCCTGCCTCCAAATCCATTCACCAAGCGATGGGCAGAGTGTGCTCGTATATTAAAACTCATACAACATGTATTAACGCTGGGAAATTCAACAGAAATGCATGTCAGGCAACGAGCCGTTTATTGTGGTCGGGTAATCGTCTGGGGGGTAAATGTCCGGGGAAGGTAACTGTCCTGTAAGTAATTGTACGGAGGGTAATCCGCAGGGGGAGCAATTATCCGGGGGTGATTGACCCTGGTGTATGATTGTCCGGAAGGTAATTGTCCCCGGGGTATGATTGTCCCAGGGGTATGATTATCTGAGGGGGGTAACTGTCCCCAGGGTATGATTGCCCAGGGGTTAATTTTCCCCGGGGTATGATTGTTCCAGGGTTAATTTTCCCCGGGGTATGATTGCTCAGGGGTTAATTATCCCCGGGATATGATTGTTCCAAGGTTAATTGTCCCCGGGGTATGATTGTTCCAGGGGTAACTGTCCCCAGGGTATGATTGCCCAAGGGGTTAATTTTCCTCGGGTATGATTGTTTCAGGATTAATTGTTCCCAGGGTATGCTTGTCCCAGGGTTAATTGTCCCGGAGTATGATTATTCGGGGGGTAACTGTCCTCAGGGTATGATTGTTTTAGGGTTAATTGTCTCCGGGGTATGATTATTCCAGGGTAAATTGTCCCCGGGGTATGATTGTTCGGAAGGTAATTGTCCCCGGGGTATGATTGTTCGGAAGGTAATTGTCCCCAGGGTATCTGTAGTCAAATATCATACTACTATGTGAGATTTACTCATCATGCATTCAGATAAGGTGATCAATTAATGTTGATGTGGGGCTCCATATCTTTGTAGGGAAGGTTGAGTTCATTATGATAATACTGTAAATCTTAGGACGTATATAATTCTGTATTTTTTGGTATTATAGAGAGTTGATTCGAAGATGCCTTTATTTAGGTCACCTATTATTATGATTCTTTTATTTTTAGGATACCTTGTTCCAACCTAAAATTATTTATGAAAATATAGTCCCGTAGTGTTTTTACACACCATATATATATATATATATA